TGTTTTATTGATAATTTGATTGTTTTATCTTTTTGTAAACCTCTTTGAGGTGTGGTTTTTGTTGTTGTTGTTTTACAACCAAGCAGTATGTACATTTTACGAAATAAGTAAATAAAATAAATTTAAGCATTTACATACGGGTGGCGCTGTGGGTAAAACCTCAGCGCCTAAGACTTGCCGATCGCATGGTCGGCGGATCGAATCCCCGCGGCGGGGTGCGCTCCCGTCGTTCGGTCCCAGCGCCTGCCAACCTAGCAGTTCGAAAGCACCCCCGGGTGCAAGTAGATAAATAGGGACCGCTTACTAGCGGGAAGGTAAACGGCGTTCCGTGTGCTGCGCTGGCTCCCGGCCTATAGAGTGAGATGAGCGCACAACCCTAGAGTCTGGCAAGACTGGCCCGTACGGGCAGGGGTACCTTTACCTTTACCTTTTACCTTTGATTTGTCCAGGATTTCTATGTGGTTTGCCAAAAAATGGAAAAGGAAGCTGACAATGAAAACATATCAAGCAACTCAGTCCCCATTCAGACTAAACTGGGCATCATGTCTTTCGCTGAAAGCGAAGCACAGAGGATCCCTGTGACTGAAACCTTGGGCTCCTGTCCTTCTGGGGACCGTAAAAACTAACCCTTGTGTTGGTGCTTGACTCTGGAGCTTTAAGAAGAGATTGTGAGCGGTGTGGGGTGGGCATCCTGGCTCTGTGCATCTTGGGGCCTTGAGGAGCGTCTCCATGTGATAAGGGGAGATTGTGTGACCAGGCGCTGTGAAGGGTGAAAACACTTATTTCACTGCATCGTCATGCGTTGCCTGTGCCCCGCTGCCTTTCAAAAGCACTTAAATGCCCATTTGATGGAGGGAATGGTTGGATTACACACTGTCTGCCTCCATTATTGTCCACGGGTCCCCAGACCTCGGCATTTCACAAAGGTCAGGCATGAGGAGAAGGGGAGAGAGAAGGGGAACTCGAAAGAGATTTTTTTCCTTAAATCCTTCTCGCTGGCATGAGAAACTTCCCACCTCTTTCCTTCCACAGTCAGAAATATATCGTAACGACAGCATAGCTCTCCATCTCTAGAAACCCTGTTCTTAAACTGTTGCACTAGCTGTTAGTTCATTTCCAGAACCATTTTAAGGATGGATATATATATATATATATATCCTTAAAAATTCTATCACTGCTACTTTGAGAGGGCACCTCCTTGCTATATTCTCCTTGTATTCCCAGAGGCTCCCCACACATGAACTCATTTTCCCGGATCTGTGTTTAAATCACTGAGTCTGCTTAGCCAAGTCCCCAGCAGTCCTGTATAGGGAAGTTTGCGATGTTTGTGTTTGTATACTGTGTTTAATATGTTGCAAGCCACCCGGAGTGGCTGGGGCAACCCAGTCAAATGGGCAGTGTGCGTGTGTGTGTGTGTGTGTGTGTGTGTGTATGCACACTCTTCCTATCCATGGTAGCCCTGCATCTGTGTATTGTTTATATGTACTTGTGCTTGGTTTCATGGTTTGTGATCTGCCAGGACACTGTGCTGCGCCATTCCTATTGAAAATAATGGGAACTGTGCAAGGCTGAGTCTCAATTAAGCACTGCTATTAAGCAAGGCCTTGTAGTATCCTGGAAATGTTGATGTGCCTCTTTCCTAAATGGTGGGGGACTTGCCTTGGTTCATTGACTGCAGCAATCTGATGTGCGGTCCATTAGCTCTACTTGTGTTGGGTGACATCTGTGTAATATTTGGTGATCCATCAGTTGGGAACCCAGGAATCAGCTTGTATCACAACCACTGTTAAAAAAAAGAAGATGTCGACGACGACGTAATGGAGTAAGCAGTGGACGGAATACAAACACTCTGTCTTTAGCGTGAGCAGGTTTTACGTTTGGACATTATCCCCCATCATTGGCCTTTTAACATCGCTCTTCCTCTGAGTTATGAGGGCTGTTAAACATAAAGCATGCTTTAAAGGGAGCCTCTTCTCGGCCAGCTTTCTCGCTGGAGGGGGGTTGGTGGTGCTGTCAAAATGAGATGCCTTGGCGGCATGCGCTGCCTCCGTTTAATAGTGCCATTCAAGATTTGGGATCAAGGACAAGTGAGAAATCCAAAATGCGTCAGATAAAGCGCTCATGAAATGAGGTTGCAAAGTGGTTGATATGCAAGCAAGGAAATCTGGGGGGGGGGGAAATGTGCTGGGGATTGCAGTACATTGAATGTGACTGGAAACAGCTGGAAATTGACAAAAAAAATCCCCCAGTCCCACCTCTGATTGGGAACATGAAAGTTCCAATTCAGATCTCGGTGCTTTGGAGTGACGTGAAATAAACTGTCACTGGAAATGTTGACGTCCTGGACGTTTTATTATTGTTGTTGTTTAATTGGATTGTATGGAAATGAGATTTCTGTATATTTTATGTTGACGCGATATGCACTGAATCTAGCAGTGCCAGTGGAAAGGAGGATGGTGGTTTCAAATAAGTCATTATTCTATCCAGTCTACTCCTATCATTCCTGAGCTTTGGCCATGTTGGCAGGGGCTGGTGGGAACTGGAACCCAACACTATCTGATGGGCCACAGGTTCCTCATCCCTGCTGTTGAGGGACTGTCAGCCTTATCTACCCAACATACTTAGGATTGTGTTGCACAACCCACAAAGTTCAGCAGGGTATCTCCCTAGTAAGTGTGGATTGATGGGTAAGGGAAATTGCTCAGTGGTGGGGCATCTCCTTTAAATTCAGGTAGTCTCAGTTTCAATCCCTAGTTTATCTCCAGATAAACCTGAGAATGACACCCTGTCTGAAATCTGGATAGGTGCTGCCAGTCAGAGCAGACAGCTAGATGGACCAATGGTCTAATTTGGTATAAGGTAACTTCCTAGATTTCTGTAATTAGAATGCAGACCTGTTTTGAAAACTTTTCAAATATATATAGTAGATTTTTTGAACTATTTATGAGATTTCTTACCTATCCTTCACCATAAGATCCATAAGATACAAGGGTGGGTTACAATGAAGGATGGTCTGAGAAATTCAATTCAGCTCACATCTGAAGCTGCACCTATCTAATTTGTACTATCCAGCATGGTATGCGAACCAAAATTCAGCCATTCTTTAAAATTCACATTTCTCTGAATTTTGCAGTGTAGTTCTCCAGCCAAGTAATGTGTACAGAAATGCTGAGGCTGAAGCATGCATATGGATATATGAATTCATATATAAGTGAACGTAACAAACAAAATGCCTTTGCAAAGAATTATGTGTTAGGCAACATTGCATTCAGGAATGTGTAGGTGAGGATAAATTCACACTACCAAGCTGATAAATTTTCATGAGGAATTGTGTGGGGTTTTTTGTCTTAAATCACAAACTGATGTGGAAATGTGGAGAACTGAACTAAGTCTGGAAAAATGAGAAACTGAGAGGGACCAAAATTGGCAGTTTCACCCACCCCTGGTTACAAGAGTATAATAAAAGCTAAAGGGACCGCTGGCCATTAGGTCCAGTCGTGGCCGACTCTGGGGTTGCGGTGCTCATCTCACTTTATTGGCCGAGGGAGCCGGCGTACAGCTTCCGGGTCATGTGGCCAGCATGACTAAGAGGCTTCTGGCGAACCAGAGCAGTGCACAGGAACGCTGTTTACCTTCCCGCCCGAGCGGTACCTATTTCTCTACTTGCACTTTGATGTGCTTTCAAACTGCTAGGTTGGCAGGAGCAGGGACAGAGCAACAGAAGCTCACCCCGTCATGGGGATTCGAACCGCCAACCTTCTGATTAGCAAGTCCTAGGCTCTGTGGTTTAACTCACAGTGCCACCCGCGTCAATACACAGTTTTAAATACAGTTGGTCTTCAGCTTACACAACGGTTCAAATCCAGGGGTCCACATGCAAAAGCAAAAATGAATAACACCTGGAAAACCCCTGAATCTCCACCCTGCTTGACCATCCCTTCCTGTCCAGGGCAGGACTTGCCCTCTGCCTCACTTACTGGGCTCTGAGAAAGTTGCATGAAAGCCCTGTCATGGCCTTCTCAGAGCCTTGTAAGCAAGGTGGAAGACTCAAAAAGCTCTTTCTGTAGCAGGTTTTCTCTAATCTCCATTTATTTATTTATTTATTAGCTGTGCATCTAAGGTTGCTATCATATAGATAAATTGCAGGTCCACTGTACATATTACACACACAAGTAAAATTATCTTAACCAGAACAGAACAGTATAAAGCCAATATAAGAGGTGGCTTCCACAAAACTCTCAAAGGTGCATCTTTAACATACAGAAACTGCTGTACAATGAGGTATCTGGATGCACCTCTGAGGGGAGGAGGTTCCACAATTGGAGGGGGTCACAGAGAAAGCCCTCTCCCAACCCACCATTCCCTGCACTTCTGAGGGTGGTGGAACAACCAAGATTGCATCCCCCCTCCCTTCTGATCTTAGCACTAGAGGGGGTTGGTGGGAATGGAGGTTTTCTTTCAGATGTTTGGAGTCTAAGTTGTACAGAACAAAAAGTTCAGGGAAAAGTTGCATGAACTTTCGAAGAAGCAAGAACTGCAGAGAAGTTAGTGGCGGATGCTGGCAGTGACCATGCATGGGGAAAATTAAGGGAATGGACTGGAGGCTTTGAGATGGCCAGGGAAGGGTGGGCGATCTTCCTTGAAAATGGTTTCTGGGTACCAAAGGGGCAGCTTAACAAGAGCTTGAAGGTGTGTGCCTCTGAAATAATTGATATTCTTTCCTTTGGAGGAGTGCCAGAATGGATCTGTGGGTTAAGGTTAAAATTTTTAGATGGAGGAAGATGTCCAGAGTGCAGCCCTTGGATCCAAGTAAAGTGCTGACATCTCCCTCTTGGGAGAACGGAAGTGCCGGCTCTGAGAAAATGCTTCTCGCAGCAAAGCTAAAAAAAGGAGAGAAGGGAAGGGGGGAAAGGCACAGTCGGAAATCATATAAAATAGCCTCTCAAAAGGCCCACATGTTGGTGATGACCATCTCTGCCCCTTTCTCTTTCTGAATCCAGGTGCATTGTGGATAACCGAGTGACCCGGGTAGCCTGGCTAAACCGAAGCAGCATTCTCTATGCTGGCAATGACAAGTGGTGTTTGGATCCGCGAGTGGAGCTAATCGCCAACACCAAGACTGACTACGCCATCCGGATAAACGAGGTGGATGTGTACGATGAGGGGCCCTACACCTGCTCTGTGCAGACGGACAATCATCCCAAGACATCGCGGGTCCATCTCATCGTGCAAGGTAGGGGCTCAGGGAAGCCTGAGGGTTTCGTACGAAAAGTGAGTTTCTAGTCCTCATGCTGGAACAAGTGTTCTTGAAGGTGTGAAAGCATAAAAACCATGAAGAATAATCAACCCATGTAATATCTTCGCTCTCTCTCACACAAGCCTTCATGTTTTACTTCCCTGCCCCTTAGTTTTGCTGCTCTTAATTTTGACTGTGCAAAATATAAAGTTGTTTGCCTAGTTGAAGGGCATGGTAGCTTGGATTGTGCAGGCTGAAAAAAAATGTGTGAGTGTGAGAGAGGGGTGTGGGGATCTGTCCATTTTAGTTTCTTATTCTTCCATTGTAGGTTCAGTTCTCCACATTAACACAGTTGGTGATTTTTTTAAAAATAGAAATCCTTCTGAAAATCCACTAGCATTTTGGTGCAAATTTCTCTTAAGATGTACACCTAATAGTACACAATTTTGCCTAATATATGCACATTTCTGCAAAGCAATTTCAACCATTATTGTGCATTTTCATATGTTATTTGCACTAATGCATGCACATCTTACCCTAGGATATGCATGTTTGCTGCATTGCAAAAATCTGTTGAAGTGCAAATTTTGAAGGACGGCTGGTTTTCAATTCATCTATTGATTCAGAAAGTGTGAATTAGGTTGGTTCACCTTTAAATGGCAACTCAATTGCATTTCTCCCCCATCCTTGCTGGGGAGTGAGGGGAACGTGTGATGTCTGTGAATTGCTGCACTCTTAGTGCACTAGTGGGGCTACTGGGCAAGAATTAATGTTGCGGGGGATTCTAATCCATTTGCCATCAGCCATCTCTCTAGGATTTGGCTGGAAGCCATCTTAGCATGACACAGTAGCTTGACTATTGGAATCTCATCTTGGGCTAATTTTCAAATGCTGATGGGTGTATTGATTTGGAAACAAGCTGGGTTAAGAAAGGCATTGGTCTTGTACACCAAGCCGACCTGAGCTAATCCGCTGTCGATATGTTGGGGCTGAGCGTTATTGACAGACTAATGAATAGGAGACCAAAAATAAAAAAATAAAGAATAAATTCCAGGACTCTTTTTCTCTTCTTTTTCTTCCTCTTAAAGCAATCAAGGAAAAATAAATAGAGCTGGCGCTCCCCTCCCTTCGCCATCTCCACTGCCCATGAAACAACCAAAAATAAAAAAGAGAGATGCATTTTCTGTTTATCTTGCAAACTTTTATTACCTGTCCAGATTTCTTAAATCAAAGTCAATCACATGGAGGGGGGGGGGGAATGTTGAAGCTGCAATCAAGCAGCTGAGGAGGTGTAATTATATTGGATCCATCCTCAAGCTGGTGCCTTGTTTCCTGACCCCAGCCCTTGATATCTTCTGGTATTTAAAATCAATCCTGCCTGTTTGCAGTGGTTGTTTTCTCTTCATTTCATCCTGTTTTCTGGAAGGAAGACATCTGGTTTCCTCAAGAAGGGAATACATAATGGCAGTTAAAGATTTACAGCTCACATGGGGAAGCTTTCACAGGCTGTATTGCCTTCTGGGCAACCTTCTCTGGGACACCTGCCAGTCATGGACAGGGCCAGAGGCAAAAGTGGATGGAGAAACTAACATAACTTTTATTTTTGTACAGTTGGATATTTTCTGCAAAAATTCACACACCCCTCTCTACATACCCTCCAACTTTTCTCCAGTGAAAACAGGGACATCTTATTCCATAGTAGTAGTAGTAGTAATTGTATTATTTATACCCCACCCATCTGACTGGGTTGCCCCAGCCACTCAGGGTGGCTTCCGACATATATAAAAACATAAGAAAACATTTTTTAAAAACTTACCTATACACGGTTGCCTTCAAATGTCTTCTAAAGGTTGTACAGTGGTACCTCGTATTACAGACGCTTCAGGTTACAGACTCTGCTAACCCAGAAATAGTACCTCGGGTTAAGAACTTTGCTTCAGGATGATAACAGAAATTGTGTTCCGGCGGCACAGCAGCAGTGGGAGGCCCCATTAGCTAAAGTGGTACCTCCGGTTAAGAACAGTTTCAGGTTAAGAAGAGACCTCCAGAATGCATTAAGTTCTTAACCTGAGGTACCACTGTATAGCTACTTATCTCCTTGGCTCAGGGGTCACATAACTCCATACCCTCCAACATTTCTCCAATAAAAATAGGGATGTCCTAAGTAATAGCAGGACATTCTGGGACCAAATCAGAAACCAGGATGGCTTCTGTAAATCTTCTGTCCCTGGAAAATAGGGACCTACGGGGAGTCTGGTCTCTATCCTCCATCAGGCAAGTAAGAAAATGATCAGAGTTCAAGAACCCAAAATCTCTCAAAGATTTGGAAGGAGGCTGTGAAGAAGCACCAGTGAGTTGTGTGGCCTGGGGAGAGAGGGTGTCTGGGAAGTATCTGAGGGCCAGATAGAGAGACTTGAAGGGTCACATTCATGCCTCACACCTGAGGTTCTTCTGCTTTACAGGATATTGCTATTTTAAGACATGTGTCCTGGTATCTAACCTGGAAGTCTCTCTTAACTTTCTTGGAAGTGAATATTTGGAATTTGGAGTATTTGCAATTCTGCAAGTGTTTGTGGGTGTTTAAAGGCTGGTCAATGAACTGTTATCATCTCTTGAGCAGATTGAGGGAGATATGGAAGAAGGCAATAAGTTATTAGAAATTAGAAATAATGATGATGATGATGATGATGATGATGATGATGATGCCATGGTAGTGTCCTGTGGGCAGGTGTATGGAAGAAAGCACATGCGGCAACAGTTCACAAAGGAAAATAGGACGCTTGTAAAATACTCCAGGGTTCATTTCAAAAATCACCCCTAGCACATCCTCCTCCTCTTATGCATTGCTGAAGTTTTTGCTCTGTGTCTTTTCTTTAAATTGCACTTATCTTTGATCTTTTCCTCCATGGAGCTCAAGATAGCGTACATGTTCCATCCTCCCTTTCCTCTCTTAATCACCAGAAACACCCTTTGAGTTAGATTAGGCTGAGAGGCAGTGATTGGCCCCCAAGATCACCCAGTAAGCTTCATGTCCAGGTAGGGATTTGAACTCCGGACTCCCAGGTCTTCATCTGACACTCGAACCACTCCATCATCCTGGTTCTCTTGTAAATGGATGCAGCATATTTTTCAGTAGTCTGTCCTGCAATCGCTTCTAAATAATGGTGTTTGTTCTTTTTGGTTAAAGATATACTAGAAGAGGAACAAAATTGTCTGATAATATGCTTTCACTTTTTCCAAATATATACCTCTCCATCTGCAGTGTAGGAAATGACAGGCTGTGCACCGCATGATTCTCTAATGTCTATGAGCGGGCATTTATGGCTGAGCTGAAATTCTCTCCACCACCAACACCACTACCGCCGCCCCCCCCACCAAATTCCACAGACCCATTTGTGAGTCTTCAAATTTGGGAGACACTCCAGCTATTTTCAGCTATGAGCTGAGTTTTTGAGAAGTGTCACAGAACTCAGCAACACTCATGCTGGCTGCTCACAGCTTGCAATCCACACTTAGAGTCTGCTCACATGGGCTAATGTCAAGCCAGATTTCCCACTGCCTGTGCTTTGCTGTGTCATTGACGTGTGTATGTGTGTGTGTGTGTGTGTGTGTGTGTCCCCGTCTCTAAATGCAGAGCATTACATTTATTCAATGTTCCAACCCATGAAGATTATTCTTAATATTGATTCCATCAATTAGTCTGTTAGATATGCCTCCCAACTTTGTGTCTTCTGCAGATTTGAGAAGCAACCACTCCACTGCAGACCTTCTTCCAGTTTGACTCAGAGCCATTAAGATGCATTTGTTGGGTGTGGTTGCTCGGCCATCTGTGGTGTGGTTGCTCAACCATCTAACAATAGTGTTGTCCCGCCCACATTTTACCATCTTGTCAACCAAGTTGCCATGGGAGACCTGATAAAACATGTTTCTGAATCAGAGATATAATAGATATATGGAGTTCCTGACTACCTGGACCATTAACTTTTTCCAGGCTAAAGGTAAAGGGACCCCTGACCGTTAGGTCCAGTCATGGACGACTCTGGAGTTGCGGTGCTCATCTCACTTTACTGGCTGAGGGAGCCGGCATACAGCTTCCGGGTCATGTGGCCAGCATGACTAAGCCACTTCTGGCGAACCAGAGCAGCACATGGAAACGTATCTACTTGCACTCTGTCGTGCTTTTGAACTGCTAGGTTGGCAGGATCAGGGACCAAGCAATGGGAGCTCACCCCTTTGCAGGGACTCGAACCGCCAACCTTCTGATCACCAAACCCTAGGCTCAGTGGTTTAGACCACAGCGCCACCCACGTCCCTTTTCCAGGCTAGTAACTGCCAAATAGGAGATAAAGTTGCCCTGGCGTTATAAACACCTGCTGACATGTAGTAATCAAGGCATTGTTTTCTAGATGCCCATTTACCTACAGGTCAGGAGTGATGGAGGGGGAGAGGTGACTCAGTGTGTCTGGGCTCTTGGCAGCAGCAACATCACTGCTGCTTACTGGGAGGTAGAGGGCTAGGAAGCAAGGAGCCCAGCACTCTGCTGGTGTACTAGTAGAAATGTTGGTTTGACTGAACTTTTCCCACTCCTCCTAGTAACTCCTCCTAGCAACACCACCCCTGCCAGCAATCCATTTTTAGATAGATTTTATTAAAGTCTGAAAAAGAATATAAAGATTATCAATTTTTTATCGTGTATGAAAAACTAGTCTAAATAAAAACACAAATATAAAAAGAGAGAGAAAAAGGGAAAAGCAAGCAAGCAAGCCAGAGAAAAAGAGAACTTGCTATTCTTCATCTGTCAGCTATATGTAGAAAATTATTTAATGTACCCACTCCAAGACGATACCCAACAAATCCACTTTATCTTCAGTCCTCAAGCCCAGATATCATCAGTTGATTTATTCCATGCAAAAAGTCTATAAGGGGTTTCCACTGCCAGCAATCCAGCTGCATGGAGGTACCCCGTCCTGACGGTTGCTCCTGACGCAGATTATCTG